CTGGTGACGTTTTTCCGGTTGCCTCTTTGAAGCCTGATGGCGGGCGCGGCCGTCTCCTTGGGAACGGTTAGTGGGTCTCTCGGGTTTTCTTTTCGAGCTCCTGGGGCCTGTTGGGGCCTCGTTGGCTGTCTTGCGGCCTCCTAGGGGCCTCTTGGGGACCTCTTGGGCCGTCTGGCGGCCTCCTGGGGGCCTTTTCTCTTGAAATTTTTTGGGGCGCCTCTGGGGCCGGTCCCGGACTGTCCCCCCGAGCCTCTTCCAGGGGACAGCCCAGGAAATCTATTCTGCTGGCGTGCTGTGCGTGCGTGCTCCTGTGTGAGAGGTCGGAAGGGTGTCCCGACGTCACCGCTCGCTCTTGAGAGCTGTGCCTGGGAGAGCTCTCTACGCTGCGTCTCGCTCTTGGGAGCCCTGGTGAGAAGAGCTTTGTGCTTCACCGATCGCTCTTTTAGTGGGCGTCTCTGGGCCTGCTTGGTGGTCCTTGTAGGGGGTCTTTTTCGGGCCATTCTGACGCTTTTTTGGGCTGCTCTGGGAGCGTGTTGGAACGTTTTGGGGCCTTTTTGGGCCGTCACGGGGCGTCCGGGAGGCCTTGGACCGTCTTGGAGCTCTCTTAAGGCTGCCTGAGGCCGTCTTGGGAGCCTCTTGGGGCCCTCTCGGAGCTCTCTTGGGGCCGTCTTGGGGTTCTGTGAGGCCGTTTCAGGGCTCTCTGGCGCCGTCTTGGGGCTCTTGTGGGCCGTCTTGGAGCCCTCTTAGGGGCCGTTGGCGTCTTCGTGGAGCGATTTGGGAGGCCTCTGGGCGTGTCCTGGGCCGCTGAGGAGCACACAAGGCGGGGATGCTGAAAACATACGTTTTCCCATAGGAATTTGACGATTTGTGCCTCTTTGGCGTACGCTCGGGACCCTCTTGGGGCGTCTTTGCGGCCTCTTGGATCGTAAAGGGCACCCCCTGGAAGGCTTTGGGCCCTCGTGGGCCGTCTCGGGACCCACTGAGGCCGTCTTGGAGCGCTCTTGGACGGTCTGGGAACCCTCTGGAGCGCCTCTGGGACCGGCCTGAGCGATTCGGCCCCGTGCTGGCGTAAAGGGGCGATTTTGTGCACACGAGGCCCTGTGAACCCTTCCCGCACGCAGATCCAGTGGCCATGTAGGAGAGACTAGTGGCGTATCCTGTAGAGCGCTTGGGTCTCTCTTCGGAGGCTCTTGAGGGGTCCTTATGGGGCTCTTTTGGGCCGTTTGAGTGCTCTCTTGGGCCATCCTGGGGCCTTCTTGGGCGGTCTGACAGGGCTCGGCCCGTCTAGGGGCCCCCTTGGAGCCTTCTTGGGCTCTCTTGGGTGCCTCCTGTGGCCCACTCGGGGCTATCTTGGGAGCCTCTTGGGGCGCTCTCGGGTCCCTCTTGGGCCCGTCTGGGGGCTCTCCGGGGCCGTCTTGGGACTCTCTTGGCCCGTCTTGGAGTTCTCTTGGGGGCATCTTGGGCCGTGTTGGGGCGGTCTTGGGGGGTCGCTTCGGCCATCTGGAACCGCTGCGCGATCGGCCCATTCGGACATCCGCGAGCGGTGGTCTGGGCGTTGTAGGAGAGATGACGTCGGGCTCCAGCTTCGCCTCCAACATCTCGCTCAGCAGCGCCAGCGCCCGCTGCCACTGCTCGCCCTTCTCGCACGCGCTGATCCCAGCGCTGTAGCTGATGACATTGGGCTCCAGCTTCGCCTTTCCCATCTCGCTCAGCAACGCCAGCGCAGGCTGCCACTGCCCGGCCTTCTCGCACGCGCTGATCCCAGCATTGTAGCTGATGACGTTCGGCTCCAGCTTCGCCTCCCGCATCTCGCTGAGCAGCGCCAGCGCCCGCTGCCACTGCTCGCCCTTCTCGCACGCGCTGATCCCAGCGCTATAGCTGATGACATTGGGCTCCAGCTTCGCCTCCCACATCTCGCTGAGCAGCGCCAGCGCCCACTGCCACTGCTCGCCCTTCTCGCACGCGCTGATCCCAGCATTGTAGCTGATGACGTTCGGCCTCAGCTTCGCCTCCCACATCTCGCTCAGCAGCGCCAGCGCCCGTTGCCACTGCTCGCCCTTCTCGCACGCGCTGATCCCAGCGCTATAGCTGATGACATTGGGCTCCAGTTTCGCCTCCCCAATCTCGCTCAGCAGCGCCAGCGCCCGCTGCCACTGCGCGCCCTTCTCGCACGCGCTGATCCCAGCATTGTAGTAGAGACTAGTGTGAACCCGTGGAAAATCCACGGCCCGCAGGTCCAGGCATTGGTCCCGAACGCGCACGTGTCGGAAGCACTGGAAGCGTCAAAAGTAATGTGTTTTCGCTAATCGCGCGAGGCCTGGGCGCGATTAGCAGAAACACATAGGTTTTCAGACGCAATCAGAGTAAGGGGGCCCGAACGATCTTACAGAGTCCCTGTGCGCGAGAAGTTCGATGTGGAGGGTGGACGCGTGGGGGCCAGAGTTGGGCGCTACGTTGGGGGGCCTCGTTTGAGGGCCACGTTGGGGGGTCTCGTCACGGTCAGGGTGTCATGGTTGGGGTCAACGTTCACGGCCCTGCCGGGGGCCATGTTTGGGGGCCGCGTGCGGGGTTCGGGGGCACATGTGACGGTCGCGTTTGAGGGTGTGGGGTTCGGGGGCAGATGTGACGGTCACGTTTGAGGGCAATGGTTGGGGGCTGTGTGTTGGGGCCACGTTTGGGGGCGCCTGGGGGCTACGCGTGGGGTTGACGTTCGGGGGCCACGCTTGATGGGGCGGTAGGGGCGACCTTCGGAGGCTTTGTTGTGGGGGCCGCCTTTGGGGGTCCCGTTTGGAGGCCGCGCGTGGGGCCGACGTGTAAGGGGCCACGTCCAGGGGCGATCTCAGAAAGCAGTCGGGGAGCCCCGGGGGCACTGACCTGGAAGCGTGAAAAGGAATGTTTTTTTGCTAATCGCGCTGGGACTGGGCGCGATCAGCAAACTCAAGGGTTTTCAGGCACCGTCAGAGTTAAGGGGCCACGTTAGCGGGCCCGCGCAGGGTGGTCCTGGGGCCATCTCGGGGTTCTCGGGCCGTCGAGATGGCCGTCTCGAGAGCTCTGGCAGATCGAAGCCAGCAGAACCGAGAGAGCAGCGGTGAGGCCCCCGATACAGCCAAGGGTGCGGGTGCTGGTATACGTAGGGCCCCCGAACTGGCTGTAGTGGCCTGCGGGCAATGTCGCTGCGGGCCTGGGTGATGGGTAAGAGATCTCGTGGATGTTGGTTGGGATCTCATGGCTGGCCTCTCGGGAGCCTCTGGGAGACAGTTTGGGGCCTTCTTGGTAGCAGTTTGGGGGCGTCTTGGGGCCTCTTGGGCCCTCTTTTGGGGCCTCTTGGGGGTCTTTGGGGGCGCTTGGCGGCCTCTGGGGGGCCTCTTGGAGCCTCTTTGGGGCGTCCTGGGGCCTCCTGGGGATGTCTTGGGAGCGTCCCGGCGTTTCTTTGGGGCGTCTTGGGGCTTCCTGGGGGCCTCTTGGGGTGGAGGCCTAAATTTTTTGGTTCTGGGTCCCTGTCTGGGGCCTCTCTTGGGGCCTTCTTGGGGCCCTCTTGGGCTGTCTTGGGCGACTCCTGGGCCGTCATTGGGGCCTCTTGGGCCGTCTTGGGGCCGTCTTGAAGGCCTCGGGCCGTCTCGGAACGGTCTGGGGGGCCTCTTGGGCGGTCTTGGAGCGTCGGAAAGCCGAAAACGCGAGAAGGCCAGAAACATCGGAAAAAAATAAAGAAAATCAGCGATTTTGGCTTCTGCGGCCCCTCTTGGAGGTACACTTCGAGCGCGGGGGCCTCGTGGACGCGTCCCGGGCCGTCTTGAAGGCGTCTTGAAGCTATTTTGAGCGTCTCGGATCCACTCTTGGACCGTCTTGGGCCGTCTTCGGGACCTCCTGAGGCCGTCTTGGGGCGATCTGGGAATCCTGGATCAGTCCGCCAGCGGTCCGGGGGCCTCCAGGGCCCGTCGGGCAGCGGCCCGGAGGCTCTCCGGGCGGCCCGCGAGCTCTCTGGGCGGCCCGGGGCGCTGCCACTGCCTGACCTTCTCGCGCGCGCTTCGCCCGGAATTGTAGTACAGATGACGTTGGGCTCCAGCTTCGCCTCCCATATCTCACTGAACACTGACAACGCGTGTTGCCATTGCCAGCCTTTTCTGCATGCGCTGACAGTCGCAACATAGTGGCTAGGGACGAGTTGCACACCCAATCGAATTCCTTCGCGAAGCAACCGCAGTGCGGCGCTCCATTGTTTTGTCAGGCCGCAATTGTTGATCGACGCTTCGAGGGACATCACATAACGACTTCTTGAGACTATCCAAAACGCTATGGCACCGGGGCTTGTGCCAAAATGGCTTGTGCCAAAATGGCTAGAGCCAAAATGGCTACGAACCGTCCAGTGTCGAACAGATCCGCCACCACGCCTCCTGGCGCGTGGCGGCGTGGTGGAATGCCAAGTGAGCGCCGATCAAAAACGGGTCTTACGCGAGATGGCACAGCGACCTTACGCCGTGGCTTGCGCGGGCCACCAGCGCGGCACGCCACATTGAAGACGAGGGCGCTTACGCGCGACCTTATGCGGGCAGCTTGTGCGCCAATGTCGGCGTAGACGACCCCGTTTCTTGCGTCGCTCTAGAGCTGTGACAGTGGACTTTTTGGTTTTCTGATGAGGGACCTCCCACTCCTCTAGCCGCGCCCCCTCCCGTGCACCGCCTACCTCTCGCAAGGCCACGATCCCTGATTAAAAAACGGTGGGTCCGCGCTCCCGAGGCGACGACCCCTAGTAAACAAACGATGTGTTCGTGTCTCCAAGACAGCCCATGTAGGCAACCAAGGACACCACGATGGCCGACGATGACTCGAAGATGGCTCAAGATGGCCCTAAGGCAGCTGAGTATGGCCTCCAGACGGCCGAAGGTGCCTCCAAGAGGGCAAAACAGAGCCATACGAGGACCTCCAACATGGTTCGGAGAGGCCCAGAACACTGATTTCCATATGGTTTTTTGACTGATGTTCGCAATCTCGCATGTTCTGGCTTCCGTCAGCTTACGGCAGCCCAAGGAACCTCCACGATGGCCCCAAGACGGCCCAAGCGGCCCCCAAGAAAGTCCCAAGAAGGCCTTAGAAAGCCCCAGGATGGCCCAAGAGGTATCCAAGACGGCGCCAACACCCAAGGGACCCCCAAGACTGCCTCATAGGAGGCCAAGATAGCCATAAAGACGGCCCACACGAGTTCCATGAGAGATCCTCGAATAGTGAAAACGAAGCATGCCTCATGTGACGGACTTCCTCTTCCTCGCCCACCACCTCCTACTGCTCCTCCTCCTCCTCGTCCATGTCCTCGTCCTTGTCATCATCATCAGCAGCAGCATCATCAGCATCATCATCGTCATCATCATTACCATCAGCATCATCATCAGCATCAAAAACATTGACATCAACACCAACATCATCAACATCATCCTCATGATCCTCGCCATCCTCAGCACGGTTCTCCCAAGCCTGAAGACACGAAGTGCCACACGTGACGGCCTCCCGTGCCCCCTCAAGCAGTCGCCAACGAAAACGTTGGGCTGGCACTGTGGCGGGAGTTGCCGCAGGCAGCCGGATGGGATGCTGGTGCGCGAGACCGAGGAAGAGGGACGAAGGCTCCCCACCAGAAAATCGGTCTCTGCTTCGGGCTCGTGCCGCGCGTGCGGGCGAGGCGACGCTGCATGGCCGGGCGGGAGGAATGACTCCGCTGTGGCCAGGGCGGGTCAAAACCAACAAAAAAACGCCCCTCTGGTGGGCTGGCGTGGCCGGGGAGGGTCTCGCCGTGGTGTGCGCCGCCGTCGTGCCCCGCCGTCGTGTCCCTGCGGTGTCCCTTCGGGCAGTGGCCGGGGGTGTCCCGCCGTGGCGTCGGTGCTCCGTCGGTGTCCCGTCGGTGTCCCGTGAGGGTCCCGCCGTCGGTGTCTGGTCGGTGTCCCGTCGGTGTCCTGATGGGTGTCCTTTTTGTTGTCCCGTCGGTGTCCAGAATGGGGTCCCGATTGGTGTCCAGAATGGTGCCCCAAAGGTGTTTCGTCGGTGTTCGGTGGTGCTCCGGTGCACCGCACTCGCCACCACCACGATCACCACAAGCATCATCACACTCATAACCACACTCGTGTCCAACACACTCATCATCACACTCCTCACCGCCACAGTCATCGCCAAAGGGGCATGGGGCCAAATAGTGGCCACCGTCGTCATTTCCATCATGCAATTTTCGCCAGCATCGCCAGTGTGCTAGCCCATTGTCGTCATGAATCGTCGACAGCATCGTCATCTTGCATCGTCGCCAACTCGTAACCGCATCAACAGCATCGCCACTGTCACGTTCATCGCAATTGTCCTCCGTTGGTTCTTTCTCCCGCCAACCTCCTTATCACCCGAAGCTCAGTCGCATAGATACCTACATCGGGTCGTTTTGTATATGGTAAGGCTTCGGGGTGTGCACAGACGGCCCCCCCAAATTGCACTGGCTGGTCTCAACAAACTCCGTGAGTAGCCCGGGGTGGCCTCAACACTCTAGCGCCGCCTCCGGCGGCGTCCCTGGGGCGTTCCGCGCCTAAGGACTGTGCTGAGACCGCCTTAAACTACTCGGCGGCCTGTTGAGGCCAGCCGGCACTACCTGTGAGGGCTGTTTGTGCGCAGCCCGAAGCCGCGCCGAATCGTATCAGAACTGGCGTCGAACCAGGCCGCGTTGACACGGAGCTGGGAACGGATCAGATCGGCTGCGTGCGCAACGGCGCCATGCCTGCATCTAGGGGCGCGGCTGCCAGGACGAAGCTCCTGGGAGGCCTTCGCAAAAACGGCCCGATGAAGGCGCTACTCGGCCGTTTGAGCTGGATTACGCCTAAGACTGGTCCACAGTAGGCTGGATCATGCTGGATGTAAAAATAAGTTGGCGGGATCAAAGCGGTCTTCGCGGTCTTCGAGCCACGGGTCTGCCAGATCCAATGACGAATCTAAGTCCCCAGGAGTTGACGCTCGCCGACGAGCACCACGATACGCAGGGGGAGGAGGAGGATCGGATCGGCAATCAACGAAAGAAAAGGCTAGCCATTTCTGCTGGGTGAGCGCCTAGCCAGGACCCCTATCTCCCGCCCAGCCTATCCTGGGTCTAGAAAAATATGTTGGGGGCACTCTTTCGTGGAAGGCCTGCCCGAAGCCTGCGGACATAAACCGTCGCCAAAGAAACAGGGAATGCGAGAGGCGTGGGCGCTGTTTTTCAGGATGCCGCAGGAGACTACAGAGAGGGCCCAACAGTCATCGTGGTCATCATCGTCTGAGTCGTCGTCTGAGTCGGAATTCGTCGCGGGGCCCTTCCTCAAGACGGCCGAGGACGCATCCGAGACGGCCCCAGAGGTTTGAGGATGACTCAAGAGTCTCATAGAAACGGCCCCAAAAACAAAGGTCACCAGAGGGCCTCCGGTGACTTCTTTTTCCGCCCGCCATTTGAGTCCCATGGAGCCTGGACCGAGAGATGCAAGAGGTGCAGATGGAGCGAGCGGGTGGAGGACTCTCGAATGACCATGCTGAGCCACTACGGCGGGCGAAGGCGAAGCCGCAGGCCCGATCAGACAAGAACGCAGGGGCAATGTCGACATTGTGACTGTTTGGCGAAGGGCGAACGCGTCTGTGGAGAGAAGAAGACGCTCCGCGGGCGGGCCTGCGTGCGGTGAGGCGCGCGCTGACGCAGTTCGCGACCTTGACCACGGCGCCCAGCGGCAGCTGCTGCTGACTCCAACCTCGCATCCCCCTCTCGCTGAGCAGCAACAGAGCCCGCTGCCAGTTCCGCCCGTTCTCGCTCGCGTTCGTGCTAGCGCTGTCGTGGATGACTGTGGGCTCCACCTTCGATTCCATCCATCTCCTTAAAGCATGATGCGGCGGGTTGCCTTTTCCGCAGTCGTTGACACGAGCACTGAACATGAGCCTGTGCTGCATTTACCGCGCATCGCAATAATGAGTGCATCATTGAAGCTAGCGACATTGGACTCAAACTTTGCATCCCACGTCTCCTAAAGCAACAAAATCGCCTGTTGTCCTTGCTCGCTTCTATCGCAAGCCAGAGCCCCAGCGCTGCAGCTGATGATGTTGGGCACCAGCTTCGCTTCCCACATCTGGCTGAGCAGCGACAAAGCCATCTGCCATTGCCTGCCTTTCTCGCACGCGCTGATCCCAGCATTGTAGCTGACTAGGGCTGACCTGTGGACTGCCGTCCACGATTGCTAATGTATTGGGAGGGCGCATGCTACTGCGTAGCGTTTCAGGGCGAGCTGGGTGCTCGATGATCCTGTCGGCGCCAAGAGCATCGTTTGCAGCAACATCGGGTATGGCAGCATCGGCAGTAACCCGAGAGGTGGGTGGAGCGTCGTGAATGGCAAACGACGGCAGCCACTGCGCAGAGGGAACCGTGGGCAACGAGGAGAAAGAGGTCGAGGAAGGGAGTGTAACCTGTATGGGAAAACCATACCCAGCGCCTCCTGGAACACGCGCCGTGCGGGAGTAGTCCCAGAAAGCATTCAGGGGCGTTGGCGGCTCGGTCTGATTGGTTTTTCGGCCATCTCCTTCCACCCCAAGATGGCCCCAGGAGGGCCCCAAGAAAGCTCCAAAGGGGCCCCAAGAAAGCTCCAAAGGGGCCCCAAGACTGTTCGTGGGGGCCGCTCGGACCATCTTCAGCGCCATGAAAGCCGAGAAGCCGTGCATGCTCAAAATGCACGTTTTCCCTTCGGAAATCGATGATTTGGGCCTGTTGGGGCCCTCCTGGGACGCCACTTGGGCGTCTCTTGGGCCGTCGTGGAAGCCTCTTGGGCCGTCTTGGGCTCTCTTGGGCTCCTTGGAAGCCACCGTGACCGTGGGCTCTCTGGGGGCCCGCGTGGACCGTCCCCACGAGCAGAGCCGCCGAGGTGCCCTCCCCCCAGGGCCCGGCGAGGGCGGCCCCAGTGGCCCCTGTCGCACGCGCAGTGCCCGGTATTGTAGGTTAGGCTATGGGTGAGCCCGTGGAACGCAGTTCAAAGCCCGCGGCCAGGGCGACGCTCCATCCTGTTGGCCATCGCAGGCTTCCGAGCAGGCTGGAGCCTCGAGGGGGCGCTCGGAGGGAGTCAGACTACAGATGATGCTCGGCTGTGGGCTCTGAAGCGTCTGCAAATCCCACCCGTCACCCCTAACCCGAAGAGTGGAGGACCCAGAGAGGCTGAGCCAGCAGCAGGGGAGGAGGAGGAGGAGGAGGAGGAGGAGGAGGAGGAGGAGGAGGAGGAAGAGGAGGAGGAGGAGCAGGAGGAGGAGGAGGAGGAAGAGGAGGGGGAGGAGGAGCAGGAGGAGGAGGCGGAGGAGGGGGAGAAAGAAGAGAAGACAAGAGAACAGAGAAGGGGGGTGCTGGGGCCTTGCTTGGCGAAGTGTGCCGGGGCTGGATGCTCTCTTGGGAGCGCTGTTTTACAAACTCTCGGAGTCTCTTGGGAGGCTCTGGGGCTTCTGAGAATGCTCAAGGGCCTTCTTTGGGTTCTGGGGCTTCCTTGGGGGCTTCTGGGAACCAGAAGAAACTTCCAAAGGTGCTGGGACTGGGGGCTGTCCTCGAATGTCCTGGAAAGGTCTGCGCTATCTCGAAGTGATCCAGAAAAGGATCTCGTGGTCGAGGGACTGTCTTGAGGGCCACCGAGGTGGCTGCAGGTCCCCCCTGTCACCTCCAATCGGCAGTTGGGGGGGAGCGAGATGCTGGTCCCCGCAGTGTCTGCAGGTACCCCCGCCCCCCTGTCACCCCCAATCGGCCGTGGGGGGGGGACGACCGAAGTGGCTGCAGGTCCCCCCTGTCACCCCTGACAGGCGGAGTGGAGGCCCCAGCGGCCGAAGCCTCGATGAGGGGAAAGTCCCCCCTGTCACCCGTGGGAGTCGCTTCCTGCGACCACTCTTGCGAGCTCCGTGGGAACTGTCGGAGTCCTCGGAGTCTTGTGGGCGTCTCTGAGGCAACTCGGAATCTCTTGGGAGCTCTGTGGGAACTATCGGAATCTCTTCGGAGGCTCTGGGGCATCTCGAAGTGGTCTGGGGCCTGCCTTGGCGGTCAGGAGCTTTTTGGGGGGCGTTTTGGGGTTCGAGAGGCGGCGAAAGGGTGCCGTGGCTGGAGGCACTCTCCTTGGGGGCTCCTTGGAAACCATCGCAGTCTCTTGGGAGAAGCTAGGGCATGCTGGAGTAGTCCTTGGAGGGCTCTTCGCCCATTGAGGTCTCTCCGGAGCCTCTCGGGACCCTCTGGGCCCATTTTGGGGCTGTCTTGGGCCGTTTCGGGGGCCGCTTGGGCTGTCTCGGGAACCTCTTGGACCGTCATAGGGGCCATGTTGGGGGTCTCGGGCCGTCTTGGAGCGCGCTACGGTGCCTTCTGGGCAGCTCCTAGGATCCTCGTGGGACCGTCTTAGGGGCCACAGGGGGTTCTATGATGCTGTTTTTGGCTTCTCTCGCGCAGTCTTCGGGCCCTCTGGCGCCGTCTTGGGGCACTTGGCGGGGCCTCCTGGACCGTCTTGGGGAGATCTGGGATGGCCCTGGAGCCGTCTGGAGCCGATGTTGGCCCGACATGGCGAGAACATGGAAAACCTTAGAAAAACAAAGAAGAAATTTGGCCTCGGGGGGCCGTCAGTGGGGTACTCGTGGGCCGTCCTCGCGCGTTCTGGATCGGAGAGCGCCGGGGCGCTTCGGGCGCTCGGGGGCAGCTCGCGACATTTTCGCCCCTTTCGCACGCGCAACGACAAGAATTGTAGTACAGATGACGTTGGGCTCCAGCTTCGCCTCCCGCATCTCGCTCAACAGCGCCAGCGCCCGCTGCCACTGCTCGCCCTTCTCGCACGCGCTGATCCCAGTGCTGTAGCTGACTAGGGCTGACCCGTGGACTCCGTCCACGACATCTTTCTGGAATGGTTCTCGGAGGAACGGCGGAGATTTTGCCGAAAACCTATAAGCACAGCGCAGCGGCGGCAGCGAGACCGCGTCTTCGTGTCCGAGCCCTTTCGGCGCTCCAGCAGCTCGGCCGTCGCGGGGCCGCCGTCGTTGCTGTCATCGTCGGCGTCGTTGTCGTCGCCGCCGCTAGGCCACCGTCGTACCCGTCGCAATCGGCGTCGTTGTCGTGGTGGTGGTCGTCGTCGTCGTGGGTTGTGGGCACCGGAAGGGGGCTGGCGAGGCCGGTAGGACTGACCCGTCGACTCCGTCCACGAAATCTGCACCTGCTGATGACCATATCCGCTTGGTGCGTGCTTCTACTTGCTGCCTGCCGCTGCTTACTGCTTCTGTTGTGTGCCGCCGCTGCTGCTGTCTGCTTCGTGCCCAAGGGGGAGATCGATGCTGCCCCAAGGCACCCGAAATGTCTAACTGTGGACTGTGCATGGGGGCTCACTGTAGACGCGCAGGGAGCCACGTCCGCCGTCTCCGCGCCCCTCTGGGATCAGACTGTGCTGGGGACTGCGCTCCCTGGAGGCCTCTGGTGTATCTCGCCTCACTTGGGCGACAGCGGCGAATGGTGCCCTGGAGCTGGGAGGCAATAGTACAGGGAAATAGCGCCCATGCTGCTGTTCATTATTCGGCGCTTTTTCGCTCGCGCCCGCACCCACGGAGGAGGACAACGCTCCCTAGGCGGCCACGGATGGCGGGCGTTTCCTTCTCCATGGGGACCGTTTGGGGCCTCTCGGGGTTTCTTTTCGGCCTCCTGGGGGCCTCTTGGGGCCCCCTTGGACCATCCTGCGGCCTCCTGGGGCCGTCTTGGGCGCCCCTTGGGCCGTCTTGGGGCCGTGTGGGGCCGTCTTGGGAGCAGCTCGGACCGTCTTGGGGCCGTTTTAGGCCGGTATTGACCGCTCTTGGGGCTGTTTTGGTTGTCTCTGGGGCCGTCTAGGGCGTCTCTGGAGCCGTCGCGGGGCCGCCTCGGACCGTTTGGGGCCCTCCTCGGGTGCTCTGGGGCGTCTTGGGGCGATCGGGAAGGCCTTTATAGCCGTCTCGGACGCGGTGAAGGCGAAAAGAGCGAGCATATCAAAAATGTACGTTGTCCGACGGGAATGGGACAATCTTTGTCTCTTCGGTCCCTCCTGGGGGTCATCCTGGGCCGCCCTTGGGAGCCTCCTGGCCTGCCTTGGAGGCCTCTGGGGCCGACCTGGGGCTCGGGTGGGTCCCTCTTGGTCTGTCCGAGCGCCCCCGTGGGCGTTTCTGAGCCGTCTGGGAGCGGCCCGGGGGCCACCAGGGCGGCCTGGAGAGCCCAGCGGACATTTCAAATCAGAGGACCTTCTGGCACGCAAAGATCGCTGCATTGTAGAAGCGATGACGTTGGGCTCCAGTTCCGCATCCCGCATCTCGTTCAGCAGCGCCAGCGCCCGCTGCCACTGCTCGCCCTTCTCGCACGCGCTGATCCCAGCGCTATAGCTGATGACGTCGGGCTCCAGCTTCGCCTCCCGCATCTCGCTCAACAGCGCCAGCGCCCGCTGCCACTGCTCGCCCTTCTCGCACGCGCTGATCCCGGCGCTATAACTGATGACGTTGGGCTCCAGCTTCGCCTCCCGCATCTCGCTCAGCAGCGCCAGCGCCCGCTGCCACTGCTCGCCCTTCTCGCACGCACTGATCCCAGCATTGTAGCTGACTAGGGCTGACCCGTGGACTCCGTCCACGACATCTTTCTGGAATGGTTATCGGAGGAACGGCGCAGATTGTACCGAAAATCTACAAACATGGCGGCGGCTCGGGCGGCGGCGGCGAGACCGCGCCTTCGTGTCCGAGCTCTTGCAGCGCTGCAGCAGCTTGGCCCAGCGCACTGCTCGTTCACCCCCCTCCTATTGAGGACAGTTTCGAAGTCTCTCGGGGATGTGCGTCAGTCGAAGCCCATCTGAGGCGTCTCAGGAGCGCTCGGGGAAGGGCTCGGGAGGCCATCAGGGAAAGCCACCGAAAGCGCCGGGGAGGCTCGCAAGGATCTACAGGGAGGGCCCAAGAGAGCTTCAAGAAAATTTGAAATCCAGTGAACTCTTAAAAGAAACCGCTGTTGGGTCGGCCATCACCTCCGGGCGCGCCTTGATGTGTGAGTGGGGTTGAAGTACAAGGGCACAGAACCCCTGATCCGCTGGTAGAGGGAAGGAGAGATAGATGGATGTCTTTCCCTCCTGCACGATCAAAGGTCTGATCGATCTGTCCCAATACCTGAGCCCAAACGGCCAGGCGCAGGAGAGGTAAGGATAAGGAGTATATATGAGGGTATTACACGGGTTCTATTCACACCCCCCGTCCCGAATCCCGCCCGTGAGGGTAGGACTCGGGAACAGAGGAAAAGAATACGTCACCCTTTTACTCCTGTAATCCTTAGGTCTGCAGGCAGCTGAGCTTAAAGTCAGTATAGCCTCAGCTGCAAAGTGAAGTAAGAAGGAACACCCTGGGTCCCGATTTCTTCGCCAAGCACGCTTTGGTGCCCCCTCGGTGCGCCCCCCAAAACGCTTCGGCACTCGAGGGCGGAGAAGAATGAGACACGGGTGGGCGGAGAAAGAGGATCTGAGCAAGTTAAAGCAACTCGTAATCGGCCTCGCCTTTGCGAGGCAGGTGTTGCCACCAGCTGCCAGATTATTCCCAACGCAATGTAGTTATACTGTAGTGAATATGCATGCTGAGATCGTGTTGGTGAACACGATCGCGTTACGAAGCGCAACTACATATAAAAGCAAATGTCTGGCCAGACGAAAGGTCGTGTTGACAAACACGAAAGCTGCATGTATATAAATTCTATTTGGCGGCTCCCGTTGGCATTGCTCCTTAGGAGGCTGCCTCGGTTATCGTAAAAGATGTTTGTTTGTGTGGCCACTTGTGTTGTATGATGAAGTGGCCTAGAAGTATGTAATAGCCACCGCTCAAGGCGAACTTTGATTATAATGAAGTTCGAGCCTTTGAGCGGTGGGCCTTGCGGCCGACTCACTACGCGCTGCCGTTCTTATAGAACCTGCGGTCCCACATCCTCTGGCCATTGTATGTCACGTAGCTCGTCGTGAATGTCTCCCAATATGTCCTCGGGATCCAGTGACGAAACCAATCGTTGCGCTGGATGTCGTGGATGTATACGAACTCGTCGTTGTTTATCGCGATGTAGATCCAACAGTTGATGTCGTAGCTCCAATACCTGAGGCCCCAATGACTGTCCTCAAGGTCGTCGCGCCAGTATGCGGCGTAATCTGTGGTACGCGCTCGCTTGGCGCGTGGCCCCGCGGGCACGTGGTCCGTCGCGCCAGAGGCGCTGGGCTGTGCAGCATCGCCAGGGGCAGGGCGCGGCGGCGGCGGCGGATGGCGCGGCTCCATGGCATCATCAGACTGATGGGAGTGTGTATCAGGTTCGATCGGATCGGTTCTCATCCCTGAATTGCCCTGATGGGGCCGTCTTGGTTCGTCGTGGGCCCCTCATGGGCGCGTCCGTAGGCCGTCCTGGGCCCATCGGGGTCCTCGTGGGGCTGTCTTGGAGCCGTCTGGGACCGTGAGGAGGCCGCCTTGGAGTCGTCTTGGGCCCCTCCTGTGCGCCTCCTTGGGCCGTCCTGGGCCCAGCAGGGGCCGTGTTGGCACCCTCTTGGGGCTGTCTTGGAGCCGTCTTGAGCCGTCGCAGCGCGCCTTGGGTTGTGCTGGGTCCGTCTTGGCCCGTCTTGGGGCCTTCCTGGGCGGTTCCTCGGACCCTCCTGGGACTTTCTGGGGCCTCTTGGTGCATCGGACCGCCGAAACGGCGGGAAACGCAAAGGGTGTAACAGTAAACAATGGAAAATTAACGATTTTTGCCAGCTGGGACTCTCTTGCCATCTTGGCCCGTCTTGAGGCCCCGAACGGGCGCGTCCTTGGGCCGTCCTGGGCGCACCCTCCTGGGACCGTCTTGGAATCGTCTTGGGCCGTCTTGAGCGCGCCTTGGGCCGTCCTGGGCCGGTCTGGGGCCGTGTTGGCACCCTCGCGGCGAGGAAGCTCGGAGGCGGGCTCGAGGCCTCTTCGGGGCCATTTTGGAAGCTGTTGGGGCCTCTGTAGGGGCCTCTGTAGGGGCCTCGTTTGGGCTCCTTGGGAGCCTCCTGGGGCCTCTTCGGGGGATTCTTGGCGGCCCCTTGGGGCCTCTTGGGGGCCTGTTTGGGCCTCCTGGCGCCCTCTTGGGGCGGAAGGCTCGGATTTTCGGTCCGTGGTCCCCCTCTTGGCCCCCTCTTGGGCCTGTCTTCGGGCCCTCGTGGGCCGTCTTGAGCGTCTCTTGGGTCGTCTTGGGGCCCTCTTGGGCTGTCTTGGGGCGCTCTTGGAAACCTCTTGGGCCGTTCTGGGGCGCTCTTGGAAGCCTCTTGGGCCGTCTTCGAGCGTCGGAAAGCGGAAAAGGCGAGAAGGCCAAAATCCTTCCAAAACCGTCGTGAAGCGGACGAGTTTGAGGCCCAAAACCGTCCAAAACCTCCTGAGGCGGTCCCCTCGTCCGCCCCCCTCGCTCGAAGCAGTTTTTAAGCACCGTGGCACCTCTTGGGGATCTCTTTTGGGCTCCTGGGGGCCTCTTGGGCCTCCACTGGATTCGCTGCCCTCGGTCGGCAATCGTCGATCCTACGACGACTCTCCCCAACGGAGAAACATCGAAGGCCCTCGGAGCGTCCAACATTGTTCTTTTGTGCCTTCGATATGCCGGTCGCCTCTCGTCCGCTCCCCCCCTCCTGGAAGCAATTCTGAGGCCACTTAGGGCTTCGTGGGGGCCGTTTGGGGATCTCTTGGGGCGTTTTTGCTTGCGATATGCCTGTCGCCTCTCGTCCGCTCCCCCGCTCCTGGAGGGAATTCTGAAGGCACTGAAGGCTTCGTGGGGGCCGTTTCGGAGCCTCTTCGGCCTTCTTTTGGGCCTCCCGGGGGGGCTCTTAGGGCCCTCTCGGGCCGTCTTGGGTGCCTCTTGGGCCGTCTTGGGGCCGTCTGAGACCCGCCTCGGCGCCTCTTGGGCTGTCTTGGGCCGTCTTGGGCCGCTCCTGGGGCCGTCTTGGGTGCCTCTTGGGCCGTCTTGGGCGCCTCCTGGGCCGTCCTGGGGCCGTCCTGGGGCGTCTTGGGACCGTCTGGGGGCCCTCCTGGCCCGTCTTGGGGCTCTCTTGGGGTCCTCTTCGGCCGTCTTGGAGCGGTCGGGGGGACTTCTTGGGCCGTCTTGGAGCGTCGGGAAGCCGAAGAGGCGAGGAGGCCGAAAACATAGAAAAACACAATAGAAATCGACGATTTCTGTCGCTCGGGGCCCTCTTGGGAGGCCTCTTGGGGGGCCTCTTCTGGCGTCTTGGACGCCTCTTGGGCCGCCTGGGGCGAATCTCGGGCGTCTCGGGCCCATCTTTAAGCGTGCCGGGGCTCTCCGGGGCCGTCTTGGGGGCTTCTGGGGGCCCTCCCGACATGTCCTGGAGCCTGCCTGGGCGGCCCGGGGCGGCCCGGGGCCAGCCGGGGGCGGTTTTGAGACATTGGAGCCTGCGCCCTTCTGGCACGCACTGGGCCCTGCAATGTAGTAGAGACTAGGGCTGACCCGTGGACTCCGTCCACGGCATCCAGCGCGTTCGTCTCTGGAGGCAATATCGAAGCGTCTTAAGGGGCCATTCGGGGGCATCTTAAGGTCTCTTTTGGGCCTCTTTGGGGACTCTTGGGGCCTCTTGGGGGCCTCCTGGGGCCTCTTGGGAGCTTCGTGGGGCGGAAAGCTACAAGTTTCGGTCCGTGGTCCCTCTCTTGGGGCCGTCTTGGCCCCCTCTTGGGCCGTCTTGGGCGCCTCTTGGGCCGTCTTGGCGCCCTCTGGGATCGTTCTGCGAGCCTCTTGGGAACTTCTGGGGCCGGCTCGGGGCGGTCTTAGGAGCCTCGTGGACCGTCGTCATTGCCGTGGAGACCCGAAAACCGTACATGCTTAAACTGCACGTTTTCCATCGGAAATTGACGAGTGTGGCCTCCGAGGTTCCTCGTGGGAGTCCGCTTGGAGGCCTCTGTCATCGTCTGGAAGGCTTCGAGCGCCTCCCCCGAGTGCAGACACCTGGTACTTCTTCCTCCCACGAAGAACCTCCAGGAACCGACGCTCGGGAATCTTCTGACCCGGGTCAGTCCAGACCCGGGCCCACCAGGCCTTACAAAATGCTGCAAGATCCTGCGCCCAAGCCCGGGTCAACGCGGAGGGTCCTGCAAGATCGTGCAGGATCCTGCACCCAAGCCCAAGTCAATGCGACCCTGGCCCTGCAGGATCCTGCAAGATCCGGCGCTCTGGCTGACCTCCGTTCACATTGACCCCCGTCTCGAGGCTCCTGCAAACGTAAACGGCCCCGCCCGTTCGCCGCGCCGCCAATCGGGCGGGGCCGCTGCTGTCTATGGTGCGACGAAAACGACACCGCAAACCGAAAACGTAAACCGACGACGACACCGAACACGTAAACCGAAAACGATCCTGAAACGATGAACTAAAACGGGGCCCCGCGGAAATCAGAACGCGGGGCCTCGACCTCGCAGTGTCCATCCTGGGGATGTGGCCTCATTGGGTTGCGCATAGGACCCTCTTGAGGTCGGCGTGGGGCCGTGTGGGAGCCTGTCTTGG